GGAGGATCTTGTCTCTCTTTGATGTCAGCCTGGTCTATATTGGGAGTCTCAAGAGCAGCCAGGGCTACATAGAGAGATCATGTATCAAAAACAAGCAAGCAAGCAAGCAAAAAACCCAATAACAAGTATTTTGTTGATTTTGAAGGTTTGTTGTTATTTTAATTGTGGATATGTATTTTAATGTGGATAAGTGCTGCAGGGGCCAAGAAAGGGCGTCAGATCTCCCGGAGCTGAAGGTACAAAAGGTGGTGAGCTGCCTGATGTGGGTTCTGGGAGCTAAACCCAGGTCTAAACGAGAATACCAAGCGCTCTAAGCTGTTGAGCCTCTCACTCTATATGCTCAGGTTAGCCTGGAGTTCATGGCATCTACCTGCCTCAGCCTCAGGACTACTGAGATGATGGGCATGCAGCACCAAGCCAGGCTCACTGCTAATAGGTCTTATTCCTTTTCACATACGTATTAAGGCAAAAAGCCTTTGTCTGGCAATTGGATCTTTCTAGAATGCAATAACTATCTTTTCCTTGAAATCCATTTCAATCAAACTGAAGGTCTGGAGAGGGCTTGGAGTTTGCTTTCTATTCTTTAAAGAGTTATACAATTTCCGCCGGGCGGTGGTGGTGCATGCCTTTAATCCCAGCACTTGGGAGGCAGAGACAGGCGGATTTCTGAGTTTGAGGCCAGCATGGTCTACAGAGTAAGTTCCAGGACACCCAGGACTATACAGAGAAACCCTGTCTCAAACAAACAAACAAACAAAAAAAGAGTTATACAATTTCCTCATTTGGTGATTTTTGTCTATCTGGGACAGGGTGCTAGAGCACAGGCTGGCCTGGAACTTACTATGTTGCCAAAGCTGGCCTTCAATTCCAGAGCCTCTTTTTTAGGGCTTGGGCTGACAGACATGAGCCACCACAGCCTTTCCTTTGAATCTAGTATTTAAGCTAATTAAGCTCACAACAGTGTAGCTTACACAGAGAGCACTCAGGGAAACATGTGAGAAACCCCAAGGAATACAGGTCAAGGCTGTTGAAACCGGATTAAAATCTACAGATGTCAATAGTGCCAACTCACTGGTTTTGAAAGTGGAGTTATGTAACATGACACTAGTGGGACATGGCTCATCCTTGTCTTGTGGGAATCAGTTCTCTGGGCAAGACAGCCGCCACTGCTGTGAAAGTCTCAGAGAGCCCAATATGCTGGTTCAAATCTGTTAACCCAGCACTTAAGAGGTGGAGACAGGAGGATCAGGAGTTCAGGGACAGCCTTAGCTACTTAGTGTGTTTAAGGTTAGCCTGGACAATAGGATAATGAGAAGCAGAAGAAAAGAAAGAGAAAGAAAGGGAGAAAGAAAGTTGTGTGAACTTTTCCCTGAGAGATGTGAAATAGATGTCACTCACCTTGGACAGCACACCTGGAAACCTTCCCACCCCAGTCTGGCTTGGTGAGGAGTGAGTTTATATTTCATTAGTTACCGGAGCATGGCAGAAGCACCATCCAGCACAGATGACCACTTTCCAAAACTTGGTAGGTGGAGCACCCCCACCACGCACTTTGATTTTTGATCTCTTGTGCCCCTTGTACTCAGAGACCACATTTAGTGATGGTATCAGAATACCAACAATGGTCAGAATGTTATGCAGCTGTAGCAGTGCAAGAGCGGAGAGGCTGTGGCAACCTCAGGTGACTTATGACCCTCCCCCTCCCCTTTTGTTAAAGGGCTCTCTCTTTTTTGAGACAGGTTTCTCTGTAGCACAGGCTGTCCTGGAACTCGCTCTGTAGACCAGAGTGGCCAGAGATCCACCTCCTGAGTGCTGGGATTAAAGTTGTGCATAGCCACACCCAGCCTTGCAGGTCTCTCTTTGGTTGGTTTTTATGCTTCTTTTTGAGACAGGGTCTCTTGTAACTCACCTGGCCTGCTACTGGCTACATAGCCAAGGATGACCTTATAGTTCTGGGTTGTCAGGTGTGTGTTATTACACTGTGTTCCATTCCATCACCTTCTAAGGAGAATCAAGTTTGTGAGTTACTTGGAAAAGGCAAGAGTGAGTGAGAGCCCCCAGGGTAAACCCAAGGATCCAAGTTCAATCCCTAGTACCCACAGGTAGAAGAAAGAACCAATTGTCGTGAGCTGTCCCTCGATCTCTCACACGCACATAATAAGTAAGCAAGTGTGAAGGATGGAGAAGAAAGGAAGAGAGCCCCGGCGCTGTGGACGTGGACACAGCAGGCGCTGTGGATGTGGACACAGCAGGGTCTCTTCACTCGGGTAGCTTAGGATGATGACCTTGAGTTCCTGATCCTCCTGCCTACACACTTGCAGAGTGGTGGAACAGGTGTGTACCAACACGCCTGGAACTAGCTGGGACTTCTGGCAGATTGTCAAGTTCAAAGGTTCTAGGTGTGTTGGGCTGATTTCGGTGGAACTGACTGCATTGTGAGGGAACAAATGGCTGTTCTCAAAGGGGACCTGGAAACTGAACCCACACTGAGCAAGCAGCTCACAACTTCCTGTTACTGTAACTCCAGCAGATCAAACATCCTTTCTGGCCTCTGAGGGCGTTACATCCCTGTGCACATACAAAGGCACATGCGCACATGTAATAGCTTTAAGAACTCACTTTTTAAAAGATTAATTTAAAAAAGAGAAGGACTTATTGACCTGCTGGCACATGCCTGTCATTCCAGCACTTGGGAAGTGTAGACAAGGAGATGGGGAACTCAAGGGCATCTCCGGGAGATGGCTCAGGAAGTAAGTACCTGCTCTGAGCGTTCTCTTTTAAGCTTCAGCATCCACATGAATGCAGGGCTCAATGCCTGCACCCCTCCTCCCCGCGGCACTTGGGAGTCAGAGACAGAAGGATGCCATCAAGTTCAGTGGTAGACCCTGCCTCTTCAGCATGGTGGAGAGGCTGAAGAGAGGGCTGTTGGTTTACAGCCCCTGTGCATCATCTTGAGAACAGAGTTCAGATCCCAACACTCACAAAACAAACCAGGTGTTCCCAAAAACAACAGTCACCCCAGCTCTGAGTATGAAGAGACAGGGTTGCTGGGGACTGCTTGGGGGGTGACACATCAACCTCAGGTTCTGGAAGACACACTGCTTTAAAGGGATGGGAAGAAAGTGATGGAAGAGATCATGGATGCTCCCTTCTGGCCTCCAGCACACACACAGGATGTAATAAATTAACATCCTTTACCATATGATTCACGAAATGAAAGTGCTTCCTGTAAAAAGAAAAAGAAAAAATTATATTAAAAAAAATGCTTCCTGCTCAAGACAATCCTGGAAGCTGTGTAAAGGTGGGAGAACAGAACTCACTGCACACAGCTGCCCTCTGATCTCCAGATGTGTCCTGCAGGCCCTCACATACAACACACACACACATACACACACTCTGAATTTGAAAAGCAAAGAAGATAAGAGGGGACGTTGTGAGCAGATAGGCAGAGGGACTTGAGGTGAAGAGCATCAGACACTGACACATACCCTTATGTTTATTCACACATATATGCACACACAAATACACATACACAATACACATGCACTCATATGCATACGTATATACTACATCCATAGAAATATGTGTATGCACATATACATATGCATAGATGTATAACATACATATACGAATATGTATATACTCATACATATATACATATACATGTGTATACACATCTATTTACATATACACATACAATGCATATATATATATACATACACACCTCTATATACACATGCACACATATACATATACACATATGCATACATATACACACAAGTATATGTACACATATGCACATATGTTCATATATACACATGCATCTACACACATATATACATGTATAATATGTATACACACATATATATCCATACATGTACAATTCATTATTCACAAATTCATATATAGACATATACATGTTTATAGATGCACTTATATACACATATACACACATATGTATATACATATATGGACATATATATGCATACACATATACACACATAAAATATATGCACATATATATAAACATCACACATATACACAAATGTGCATATATATACATATAGACACACACATATATACATATATGTGATTTTCAGTACTAGGATGGAACACAGAGTCCTTACAGATTCTAGGTACAATCTAATCCCCTGCAGCCACTGAGCTGCATCTCCAGTTCTATTTTTGTTTTTTTAGGTTGGTTTTTTTTTTTTTTTTTTTTTTTTTAGGCAGGTCTCACTATGTAGCCCAGCCTGGAACTCTCAATGTAGCTCAGGATGGCTTGAAACTCACAGATTAAAGGTATATGCCACCATGCCTGGCTAAGATTTTATTTTGTTATTGTATTTTATTTATTTAAATTAATTTATACATTTTTTCAAGATAGGGTTTCTCTGTGTAGCCCTAGTTGTCCTGGAACTCGCTCTGTAGACCAGGCTGGCCTCGAACTCATAGAGACCTGCCTGCCTCTGCCTCCAGAGTGATGGGATTAAAGGTGTGTACTGCCACCACCAGACTTTACCTTTTCTTTTGAGACAAGGCCTCAGTATGCAGCACGACCAACCTTAATCTCCTGATCCTCCTGTCTCTGCCTCTTGCGCAGATGTCACCACCACACTGGTTTGTGAGTGCTGGGATGGGCCTCTGAGCTCTGTGTGTTACCTGAGTGCTTATGCCCTAAGCCCAGCACTAGCCCCTTATTATCACAGTATTAAAGCAGTCAGTCCCCTTGTGGCTTGCTCCTCAAGTGCCACCTTGGGAGGCCTCCTCCCTGCTCACTGTCGCCCAACCCAAAGAAACCGCCCCTCAGCAGTTGCTTAGGGCAGCCTCAGTGCCCTACTGTGCACATCTGCCAGGCTACCCTGGTGCAATAGGGAGCCACCCAGCAGGTTTTTCCTCTCAGCATGCTCCAGGGCTCTGAGTTGTTCTGTCTCCACCTCTCCCTGGCTGGGCACTCCTAGGATCGCTCTCTCAGCTGGCGCACCTCTGCCAGGCACAGGATGCATGCGCCGGGCAACAGAGCAAAGATGTCCAGCATCTTTGCCTATCAGAGCTCTGAAGTGGATTGGTGTGAGAGTAATTTCCAGCACTCGGAATTGGTGGCTGAGTTCTACAATACGGTGAGGGCCTGGGCAGGGGCTTTGAGAAGGGTGGGATGGGGCAAGCTTGCTGAATGTGGTTTACCAGATGTGGGATTAAGCCACATCTCCTCCATGGGGAATCTTATTTGAGCGTGTGTGTGTGTGTGTGTGTGTGTGTGTGTAGCCTGGTGGGTCAGCTTGTATCCATTCATTAATCTTCCTGTAGAACTGAGATCTATGGCAGGGTTTTAGACTCAGTTCTGAGGGATGGGGCTGTGATGGTGGGCACACCAGCAGCCTTAAAAACCCCCAGAGGAGGCTCTTTGAATCAGTAGGATTGACCTAGGCAGGCTTTTTGGGAGAAGTAAGGATGTCTGTCCTTTTATCTGCAACCTCCAGCCAAGATCAATGCATCCCAGTTTTCCCTTTCACGATCCTATTTGAACCACTCCGATTTTTATCTTTCTATACCTGATACCACACAACACCAGGAGTATTCAGTACTTAGTACACAGTGATACAGTTGTTGGAGAAACTGGAAAGATGCAGGCAACTAGAGGAGGCCATATGAGCTTGCTTTAGCTTCCTGAAACACAGAGCTGCTTAGCCACGAGGAAGGGATCTCATCGAGTCCCTTTTCTGGAGGCAGGTTCTTCCCTAGAAGCCCAGAGGAGCTGCCATGTATGTCCTCTGGTGTTGGATCCAAATGCTGGGACTGGAAGCCCGCACCCACCACACCCATCCTAGCTTTTATTCGGTGCTTGCTGTGTGCACATTGTATAAACCTTTCACCTTCATAATCTCATCTGATCCACACAGCCTCATGGGGAGACAGGGAGACGCCTAGAGGGGTGTCTCACTGTGCAGCAGGTGCTTCAGGGGGTGAAGGACAGGCTGCAAATCACCCTGGTGCTTAAACCTAGACTTTGAACTTCAACTTAGCAAACCCAACACACACACACACACACACACACACACACACACACACACAGAATCACACACAGTAAAATAGTTTTGTATGGGAAATTGCCAGCACAGATGAGACAGGAATGTTCATTACCCCACCTACTAGTGAGGCTGAAAAAGTGGGATTGCTGAGAGTTTAAAGCTAGCTGGGACAATCTATGTCAAAATAAAAAGTCTATGTCAAAATAAAAACTTTCATCCCAGCACTCAGGAGGCAGGGACAAGTGGATCTCTGTGAGTTCAAGCCTGTCAGGGCTACACAGTGAGGACCCTGTTTCAAACAAAACAAAACAAAACAAAACAAAACAAAACAACAAAACAAGAACAAGCAAGACTCACAAAAATAAAATCAAACCACTAAAATTGGTTCTCTAGTTTTGTATATAGTTCAGCGGTGGAGCTCCCACCTAGAACCCCCAGTGAGGGGCTGAGGTCATGGTCAGGAGTGGAGTCCTTACCTAGAACCCCCAGTGAGGACATGTAGGGTGTGCTCAGGGTGGAACTCCTGCCTAGAATCCCACAGTGAGAGACTTGTTCCTCTGTGGTCTTCCTTAGTTCTCAGTTTCCATCCACTTATTGGAGTTGGTTGAGACTATCCTATGGGAGAGGTTGGAGAGGGATGGGCTTCTACAGTTCCTCTCTCTGCCTTTCCAGATGCCCTGTGACCCAGAAATTCTCTGAGCATCTCAGTTCACTATGATGGGTACCCTATAAAAGATCCCAGGAGAATACTGAATCAGGTTTGTCAGGGCCTGGGCATCTCACTCTCAAATGGCTGGCATGCTCCTGTCAGCTTCTCTAAAGGGCCAGCACTCCACAGACTGGGCGGGGAGACTTCACAACCTCGGCCAATGGGACATTTCCATTTGTAGTGTAACTGTTTCACAAAATGAGAATGAAACTCCCCCAGCATGAATTCATTTGACTTTTGTTTTTTCCTTTTGTTTGGGGCTTACTATATAGCCCAGGTTATCCTCAAGCTCAAGAGCTATCTTCCCCAACCCCTCCCTGCCTCAGCCTCTCCAATGCTATCACAGGCTATTACAGTCTGCCATCACATCTGACCTTATTTTTAATTTTCTCTAATACATTTTATTTATTTATTTATTTATTTATTTATTTATTTATTTATGTTGTGTGCGTGCACATGTGCATGTATAGAGGTTGGAGAGCAGATCTAGTTGGTGAGAGTTTCCGGCTGTGTGAACAGGGAAGGCTTTTCCAGGGATCATTTCCATTGTGCCAAGGCAGAGTGCCCCAGGGGGAATGTAAATGAGCCTTGATAAGGCTATAAGCCAATAAAGCTTTATTGGAAGGAGCTAGGAGTGGTAGTGGCTAAAGCCTGTCAAGCTCAGGAAGGAGAGGTGAAGATTGCCAGGAGTTTGAGGCCACCAGGTTTAGGGGGTAAGTTCTAGGGTAGCTTGGCTTACAGTGTGAGAGTCTGTCAAAAGAACAGGATGGAAATTGAAGGGAAGGGAAAGGAAAGAAAAAAGGGGGGGGGATCATAGTGCACACCTATCATCTCAGTACTCCAGAAACTGAGGCAGGAGGATTGTCCCCAAGGTGGTCCACAGCTACATGGTGAGTTGGAGGCCAGCCTAGGCTACAAGAGACCCTGTCAAAAAAGGAAAAAGAGAGTTTGCTTTTAGTAGACGTGGGCTCTCCCCTCTCCTGTTGCTTCATGAAGACAGTTTGCCAGTTGCAGAGTAGATGGACTGAGAGAACTGTGGCCCAGCTTTGGTCAGTCAGTGCACCATGGCAATTATTTTTACGTAAGAAATCACCTCAACAGACAGGATTTAAAACCAAGTCATGCAGTCACACTGCCTGGGACATGGGTGGAAACTGCCAGTGTTACTACATGCATGCAGTTGTATCCTCTGGAGCATTCCAGCGTGCCATTCCAGCACTGGGCCAGCAGATGTTACTAAGGAACTGAAGACCATCCTTTACTAGAGAGAGTTTGTGGCCAGCCTGGGCTACAGGGTACCAGTGAGAAATCCCACCTCAAAAAACAGAACCAAGAACCCACTAAACAAATTTATTTAAGGCACTGAGGAACAACCCCAGAGGTTGTCTGTTTGTCTTATTGTATCTACTAGTGTGAAAAGACACCATGACCACAGGAACTCCCTTTTCTTTTTTCTTTTTAATTCTTCTTTCATACAATTTGTTCCACCTGCAGTTTCTACTCTCTCCACTCCCCCAGCTCTGCCCCCACTTCCTTTCTCCCCCAGGTTCACTCCTCCCCCGTTTCCCTTCAGAAAAGAGCAGGCCTTCCAGTAGGAGAAGGGTTCCAAGAGCAGGTGAAAGAGTCAGAGACACCCCTACTCTCACTGTTAGGAGTTCCACAGAAATACCAAGCTACACAGCCATAACACATGCACAGAGGACCTAGCACAGACCCATGTAGGCTCCATGATTGCAGCTTTAGCATCTGTGGGCCCCTATGAGCGCTGCTTAATTGACTCAGTAGGCCATATTCTCCATGGTGTCCTCAACTCCTCTGGCTCCTACATTTCTCCTCTTCCTCTTCTGCAGGGTTCCGCTGGCCCTGCCTAGTGTTTGGCTGTTGTGGCAACTCTTAATAAGGGAAACATTTAAGTGGGGCTGGCTTACAATTCAGAGGTTTAGTCCATTATGTTCCTGACAGGAGGAATGGCAGCATGCAAGCAGTCATGGTACTGGAGAAGGAGCTGAGTGTTCTATATCCGGATTCACTGGGCCTGGCTTGAGCATCTGAAACCTCAAAACCCACCCTCAGTGACAGACTTCCTCCAATAGGGCCACACCTCCTAATAGCGCCACTCCCTATGAGCCTATGGGGGCATTTTCATTCAAACCACACACCACTGATCCTCACACACAGATGCACAGACACAAAATAAAACAAGCAGCTGCTTTTGTTTTAGCACATGATCAGAGGGCATCCACCAAAAGTTTCATATACAATACAGTGATTTCACAAGCCACAGCCCACAGCTGGAGAATGAGTTGTTTGGATTTGTCACAGGGTCGGCTCTATAGCCCAGGCTAACCTTCAGCTTGAGATCCTTCTGCCTCTGCCTCCCAAGTGCTGGGATCAAAGGCGTGCGCCACCACCGCCCAGCTTGTCTATTCTTAATTATAATTAATCAATTATATACATGTATTTAGACACAGTATCTCTACATAACATTGACTGTTCTGAAACATACGAAGTAGACCAGGCTAGCTTCAAACTCACTACAAAGATCTACCTGCTTCCACATTCAGAGTGCTGGGATTAAAGGAAAGCATACATCACCATACCCATTAAACAAATTTATTTTGATTTATTTTGACCAGGAGTGGTAACCATGCCTTTAATCTCTACACTCTGGAGTCAGAAGTCAATGACTCTCTGTGAGTTTGAGGCCAACCTGGTTTACATAGTGAGTTCCAGGACAGCCAGGGCTATGTAAAGAGACCCTGTAACCAAAAAAGTTAAAAATTAGTTTAAATTATGTATGAGCAGAAGTGTGTGTGTGTGCATGTGAGTGTGGTGCCCTCAGAAGTCAGGGGGCTCTGATCCCCTGAAACTGGACACACAGGTGGTCATCAGCTGCTTGACATGAGTGTTGGAAACAGACTCAGGTCCTTTGCAAGAGTATTGATTGTCACACTTTAATTTGATGTATGTGAGAGAGTGTGTACGTGAGAGAGAGAGTATGTATGTGCATGTGTATGTGTGAGTGTGTACATGTTGTATATATATGACATATGTTATATGTGTAAGTGTATGTATTCATGTGTGAGTGTGTGTAAGTATGCATGTTGTATATGTGTGTGTGTGCATGTTGTATGTGTGTGCATGTTGTACGTGTGTGATTGTGTGTGTATTCATGTGTGAGTGTGTGTAAGTATGCATGTTGTATGTGTGTGTGTTTGTATGTGTGTGTGCATGTGTGTGTGCATGTGCGTATGTGGGTGGCTTGGGACAAGCAGAAGAAATAACACACAGACGAGCCTGTGTGTCTGAGGCACAAGGCAGAGGCTGAGTGATGGGAATGATGGGGGTGAAAACTGAGACCATGGTGCCTGGAAGAAGGGCA